ATATTGATGTCATATAAATGCGATGCTTACTCATGCTGCAGTGCCTTGAAGTGCTTTACTGGTGCCGTAATTCGCGTCTCCAGCTGATGGCACCAGCGTATAAAGGCAGCCACGGGCGGACAATTGTAATTGGGATAGAGATTGTCGCCCTCACGACTCAGCTCCATTTGCTTGTCATAGATGGCCTCGCACACGGTCATTTCATCGTCGAGCATGCGCACAATTTCGGCATAGCGTTGGGTGAACTCCTCCTTGATCTTGGGACGATCCAGCACGCTGCCCACAATGCTTATCAGCTGCAAGACACATTGCATTCGAAAGGAATCAATGAATAAACAACTGACTCACCTTGAAAATGCTCTCCAGATTGTGGCAATCGTCAAAGGCCTGACACAAAATGGCAGCCAGCTTCATGTCCAGCTCAAGAATGCGTGTTTGAAAGCCTTTAAAGTCCTCATCGAACTCATGATCGTCCGGATCCAGGACATCGTAGCTCTTCGAGGCAAAGGCCGTGAAATATTGATTAAACTCCACATAGACGTCTGTGATGCGTGTGCTGAGCTGTCGGCCACGCAAGCCACCGATTTCGACCTTCTCTAATTTCAGGAATTCAATCACAGTAAAAAAGAACCTGCCAAACGAGTAGAGTAAAGTTTTGCAAGTCTCTACATATTCGGTCATAGATTCCAAGCCACTTACCACTGTATGGTGGTGAGGCGCTCGAGGAAGGCATTAAAGCGCTTGAAAACTGAATTTGGATGAAAAGTCCATAAAATCGGTGGCCGCTCCTCAGGCTCCGTAAAGAATGGGGCCAGTCGCTCCTTATAGTAGTCAAACAATTCGCGAAAGAACTTCAAGATCTGTATGGACAGTGTGAGGCGTTGCATGGCCTCATCAATATCGCTGTGGAATATCGACGATGGATCCAAATATCTTTTGGCCTGTAAGCAAATCAATTGGGAATAATATTCGATTGCCCGATTGATGGCCCCATCGATTGCCTCTACCTGGTATATCATCAAATTGCATATCTCCTGCAGCAGCACTGTGATTTTGGCCGACTGACAGTAGTATCGTGAGTTGCCCCACAATATGCACACAGTATTCATGAATGGTATGAGCAGTGGCTTGCTTTCGGCAAAATCAATCTCCTCCAGGTGGTGTAGCGGGCGCTTTAGCGGATTCAAATACAGTGTTATGTCCTTTGCCTCCGCCAGAGCTGTGGACGATGATTGGTTTCAGTGCAAATGCAAATAGAAATTACTGTTTGGCATGCAAAAGGCACATGGCATGGTACTTGCGCTGGCATGGTACACCACTCACCCGTAACGACATTCTTGAAGAGGGTCTGAAAGCACGGATGGTAGGCACTAATCGAGTACTCCAGTATCAGGGCCATGGCTCGAATGCGTTCATTGCGCAATTGGTCGTAGATAAAGGACAGATTCTTCAGACGATTATTCCAAAATGTAAATTCTGTGTGAAATAGGTAGGCATTTAGGTTATGTTTGCTTATTTATGATAGTAAAATATTAAATATAAATATTTAAAGAATTCATAAAATTGTGAATTGTTTTGAATTTTTGAGGAGGGAATTGAGGGGAGGAATTTTAGGGTTAAAAAACTATGAAAAACTATAAAAAAGAGCAACAAAATATAATTGGCTTGAAGACCTATAAATCCTATTAGATATATGGTGAATCATTTCTAGAAATTTCTAGACATCTGAGATCCTGCGAGTTACAAACTTCTGGGTGCAAATTATATTTCCATCTTTAGTTCTGGTACCTAGATGTATCAGTACTGTAATCAATTCTACTTCCATTATTATTCTGCTGTTACTATTCGCTTTTCTTGCCCAAATAAAATCAGAAAAATCGCTTGTGCTTTAGGCCCAGTCAGTGCTTCAGCTGCCTTAATTGCCTGTGTCAAATGTCAGCATGTCACATGGGCCAAAAACCCTTTTGATATCCCCCTACCCTTTGCCATAGGCCGGTACAATAATAACCAAATAAATATTGCATGCACATGGGAATGTCATTCGCGAACAGATAATAAAAACGAAACTTTGTGAGGAGCCAAAAGGATGGGGATGGGGATGTGGATGGGGCCGCTGAACATGCAAATTCTTTTGGGGTTGCTAGGATATTTGGAAACTTGAATTTTATCAATAAATAATAAGTGGAGGGAGCCAAAAATAACTGATGGTGTACACTGTACAGACATACATACATATGATGTATGTGTGTGTGTGTGTGTGTGTGTGTGTGGCTGAGTCTCACCCGTGTGTGGCGTCGGATTCTGGCCATTGGCGAAGGCATTCGTGGGACTCTCCTTGATGACCTCGTGGATCTGGGTGGCCCACTTGATGACCACACCCTCGATGGCACTCTTCAGATACAAATCGAACTGGCACTGCTCCGTTTCGACCAGCTCCTTGGCCGCCTTCACAATCTTCTCCACGCCGACGGGCATGGCCAGTATGGTTTCGCCGCTCACCTGCCCCTTCACCTGATGCACGGTGCTCTTGAGGCTGTGCACATGCTTCTGCACATCCTGGGCCACCATTATGGGCCAGCTCCTGTAGTTATCCTCGTTGGAGAGCAGCGGCACGAGCACCTCCTCCACCAGGGCGGACAGCTGATCAATGGTGCGGGTGGCCAGGTCGCCATAGATGATAAAATTGCCACAATTCTCGCGTGGTATGGGCTCCGCATAGCGCTTAATGAAATACACGCCCTTGCTCTTCAGCTGCGACAGCGGAAATGTGTTGGAGGGCACCAGCTGGGCAGCGGGCGTCAGTATTATGATGAGCACCACGGGCGTGTTCTTGTCCAGAAACTCTTTGATTATGCCCTTGTGCTCCTCCACCGTGATGACACGCGTCCATTTCTCCGGCTTCAGTTTGAGCGACTTGATGACAAACGAGCCCATAAGCTCCAGCCTTGGATCCGGTCCGACCCCAGCCGCCGCTGCAGCTGCATCGGCGCTGGTGGATGGCTCCATGGCGGCCTACTCCTTGCCGGCGTTGTCACACGGGGGGTTATTCTACAGTTGTTATTCTGGTTGTCTGCTGCTGCTGCTGTTGTTGTTTTGCTAGGGGGGGAGACGATGTGCACATGCATATTTGGATTTAAGTGTGTTTGGGTGACCTTGTTACCACTAACAACTATACACACGACTACAATTTGTACATATATAATCAATAAAACGTTGCAAATCAATATGGTTTCATGCCGACATCTACAATATTATTATTCAATTTATTACATTTTTTTTTTAAATTTTATTTTTATTAATTAAATTTTTTTTTTTCCCTACAAGTTTTGCCATATTTTTAACAAGTTTTCCAACATTTTTGCATAATTTTCACACATTACATAACACGAAAATAGCGAAAACTGGAAGATTTATCCATTTAATGCCATAGACTTGCATCTTTATTGATTAGTTAACTATTATTTGCAGTAGAATTAAATCACTGACTAATTTGAATTATATTTTGAGACTTTAAATATTTTAAATATATATTTTTATATTTTAAATATATATTTTTATATTTTATATTTATTTTTTCTACTTTCTAATTGCGACTGCTTACCTGCGGCTTTGGTACGCGACTGAATGCGCCGCTTTTTAAACGGCAATTGGCTTGTGCCGTTGGCCGGAAAAGTGATCGTGGCCAGGACTCCGTTGCCAAGCAGTTGTTGATTTTGGCACTGTCTGAGCCAGGGGAATTGTTATTTTCGCCTGTGCCATAACGCGCGTTGCTACGCGGTTGCCACAACTGGCGGCAGCCTGTTGCGGCGCCATCATTTGATTGCCTATTGCACGCCATTTGTGCAGCTTTGAGTGCGAATAAAGTTGCTTCGATTTGCACGAATCCAATTGATTGATTGGGTGTCTGATTAGTTGGATGGCAGTGAAGAGGCGCCTCAGCCATTACGATTATGATTATTCGAAATGCAAATCCGTTTAATGTGTGAAATTGTGTTCTGCATGGCATCGACTACAGATCGCATCAGTCAATGCTTACACTGAGTCGAACAAGTTTTCCTCTTAGTTCCAACAATGATTTTAATGTACACTGAAGCCAAAGGCATTTCCATATAACTTATGTTTAAAATAAAAATAACGCCTGTATTTTGAGCAATATCTTCCGCATTTTTCGCTGTTAATTTGGCATAATGTTGAACGATGTTGGATATATCACGATATTTTAATTAAGCTGTCATTTTGTAGCTTTTAAAGTTAAACCCAACTGGCAGCTGCAGAAGTACCCAATAGATAGAATTTATTGTAAAATGTAGTTGTTCTTGCTTTGCTTAGTATATTCAATGAATATTATTATTATTAATATTATTCATGCTCTATTCAACACAAAATCCCCAATAAATACCTTAAATAATTTGCTTAAATTTATTAAAGTCGCTCAACTTAAATTGAATGCCCAATAAACATGCAATAGGCAGGACCTAAAAAGCCTGTCAAGCACCTGGACACAAACAGTTTCGTTGGATGTTGGCAAATGTTTTCCAATCACGCCACAAATTGTTGCATTCCAATGGCAACAGATGGTCAGGGGTAAAATTGGCGGCCGCCCCACCCCACCCCACCACAACCTAAGCAACAAACCTAAGCATTTGCCATAAAAAAATACCCTTTTCTTATGGCAACCCTCAGCGCAGGCGCATGCAACATGTGGCAGTAAAAAACAGACAAACATATATATAAATATATTTCAACTGTTGAGCCAAGCAACAGATAATTGCATGTCTTCCGGCCACACGAAAACAAATGTTGTTGCCACTTCTAATAGCGCTTATCGATCTGAGCAAGGTCTCTGGTCTGCCTCGCGTCGCGTCGCGTGCTTTGGCCGTTGGTTCGTTGAACCTTGCACCCCGCCAAACCACAAGACACAAAAATTATGCAAGAAGTCAGCCAAGCCTGAAAGTGCCACAGACTTATAAACTGTCAATGTGGCTGCTGCAGCGGCAATCATGTGGCAGTTGGCATTGGCATTGGGACTGCTGCAGCAGCTGAATGCACCGCCGGCATCTCGCACGGCCATGGCCATTGTGGTGGAGCGGAATGTGTTTGCCTACTACAAGGTGCCGGCAGCCCAGCTGCTGGACCCTGAGGAGAGCATCACCAGCAGCAGTGGCAGCAGTGGCAGTGACTCCAAGAAGGTTAAGAGCGATCTGTACTTTGTGCTGCAGTGTCCACCCAAACTGAATGCGAGCATACCCAAGCCCAGGGACATGCAGACCTGCAGTGTGGTGGACCAGTACAAGGGAATGTGGAAGAAGCCGCCGCCGCCACATCCACAGCCACTGCCAAAGAAACATCTGCAAATGGTGCCATTTCGAATTGTGCTGCGACCGCTAAGACCACCAGCAATGCGCAGGACCTATCGTCGCCGCAAACGTCAACAGAAGCGGGAAGATGATGACGAGCAGTCCACGCCCTTGCAGCATCTGGGGCAGCCACATCTACGACAGAAGCTGCTGAAACTCAAGGCGGACCAGCGAAAGTTCAAGCGGGGCAGCAGCTCCCAGGGCTATCAGCACATGTATCATCGGGATGAGTCCTACAACGATCACATATTCTACGACGATCTGCAGGCCACCGGACAGTACCATAAATACGGCAAAGAAATCCAATCTGAATAAACCCTGATATATTCAAGACAAAGAACTCCTCTCTCAGTTTTGAGCGTCACTAGAACCAAATCGTATGTCAATATCCGGCAGAAACATATCATCGTAGGCGACCTGCTCGAAGACCGTGTTCAGCAGCACAGTGAAGGCAGTGGAGAAGGTTTTCAGTATACCCGGCTCCAGGTTATTCCAGAACTCCAGCCAGTGCTTGTTGAAGGAGTGATTCAGGGCAATGGTCACATCCTCGTTCTCCCCGTACAAGTTATCGAACCAAACGATCCAGCTGCAAATCTCAGAGATTACATTCTAGATCTATTCTCTGCGCTGCGCTGCTCTGTGATCTTACCGATCTATGTCGATGATGGGCACCATATCGTAGATCTTCAAATATCGCTTGTTGTTCCGATACTCCAGTATCACCTTGATGGTCAGTGTTAGCCGAAAGTTCTGGAAATCCGACTGCAGTTTGCCGGTGGTGTTGGCCACAAACAGCAGAATCCTGCCCTGCATGTCGTAGGTGGCATCGTGGACAAGTCGTGGCAGGCGTGCCTTCAGTATGATCTGCTTCTTGGTGGGATCCCGCTGGAAGCCCTCCACATGGCTGACTGTGGCATTGTTGAAGCCTCTGTGCACATTATGCCGCATGTGAAAGGTCATCCAGATGGGGCCGCGTTGTGGCGCGTCCAGTACGGTGGAATCGGGAAAATTGTACTCATCCAGCGGCGGCAGACCAATCTCTGGTATGCCCTTGGGATGGCGCTTGATCAGATCATTGATGGTGCGCACCAGGCAGGGCGAGTCACCAAAGCGGCACTTTTCTATGTCAGCAGCTGGAAATGTTTTAAAAATAAACCCTAAACCTTTGCTTCGAATTTCGAACTCATCTACGCACGTAGCTCCGCTGATAGAGCTGCGCCAAGTCCATCGAGGATGCACAGCCAAGCGAGTGATGTGACAGCCAGATGTGAATGCATACTTTCCGCTTGAATTTCAGACGTGTATTAACTTTAGTCACGAACAGTTGGCTTAATTATATTCAAGCTGGAACCTGCTCAGTGTCGGACCGAAGCTCAACTGCTAAAAACAATCGAATGGCTACGCGCATGAATGTGTTACTACATTGGCTACATTGGCTACATTAATTGCTAATCTATGGACCCCGAACCGGTTCTAAAGTTTGTCCTTCTCTAGAATAATATGCAATTATACGTGTAAAGACGTTGATTCGATTTTAATCATTCACGCGAATCTCTTTTTGATCCGATAGGAACATGTCATCGTAGGATACCTTATGCAGAATATCCTCAATCAAATCGCGAAATACGCTCGCAAATATACGCAAATTAGTGGGCTCCAATTCGTTCCAGAACTCAACCCAATGCTTGTTGAACACCTGATTGATGGCAATCGTGAGGTCTGTGTTCTCTGCAAAAAAGTTATCCAGCCAGAAGACCCAGCTGCAAATTGAATCTGTGGTTTAGCAACCGAAGGGGAGATGGTTAGCCCGTGGCTAACTTACCGATCCATATTGACAATGGGATTCAGTTCGTATATCTTCAGGTATCGCTTGTTGTTCCGATACTCCATGATCACTTTTAGCTTGAGTACGAATCGAAAGTTCTGGAAATCCGACAGCTGTTCGCCCGTTGAGTTGAGCTCCACGATCCAGACGCGACCCTGAGACATGTAACGGCCCTTGTGGATGAGGCTCGGTATCCTGCCGTGTATTTCCATCAGGCTCGATGTGGGATTCTTGGTGAAGCCCTTGACCTTTGTGATCGTTGTGTTCTCAAAGCCATAGTTCACCTGATCGAACAGATTGAACTGCAGCCAGAAGGCGCCCACTTTCGGATTATCCCAGAACTTTGAGTTCCTAATGTCCACCACATCGATGGGCTTCATGCCCAATGCGGGTATTCCCCTCGGATAGCGTCGTATCAGCTTATTCATTGAGCTCACAATGCAATCCGAGTCACCGTAACGGCATTTTGGTATATCCTTTGCTACGGTACAAAAAAAATATCCACAGAAATTGGATCAATTTTTGAGGGTTCGATCGATATGATATCGAGCGGTTCTCGTTACCCACGCAATATTTGACCCCGCAAAGATTTGATGAGGTACAACCACAGCACTACGTTGAATATGTCACGCATTCTCCTACTACAGCCAGTTGATTCACTTTTAATTCACTTCCAGTGCATTCAGCAGCCGATTACGATGTGATATCGCCACCAACTAGAACTTAATGTGGAACTTGGTTAGTTATGTCTAGAGAACCGGTCGAAAGCTCAACCTACTACATATCTACCTATTACATTAGCATTTTCGTATATTTTTTAATATAAAAAAAAAAAAAATTATCTAACATATTGAGTGACTAGAAGTCTATGTGGAATTTATTGTATTTAGCTGAGGAACAGATCATCATAGGAGACCTTCTCGAATATATCCTCTATCATTCTAGTGAACACACTCCTGAATACCGATAGAATCGATGGCTCCAGCTCATTCCAGAACTCCACCCAATGGGCATTGAACACCTGATTCACGAGTATTGTCAGATCGGTGTTCTCGTGAAAGAAATCATCCAGCCATATAATCCAACTGCAAAATATATGTATATATAAATAAATATATATGCTATGGGGAGAACATTTCTTACCGATCTAAGCTGACGCGCGGCGCCAGCTCGTACATCTTCAAGTAACGCTTATTGTTCCGATACTCCAGCAGAACTTTCAGCTTGAGGGAGAATTTGAAGTTCTGAAAGTCCGATATGAATTCTCCAGTTGTATTGATTTTAATCAGCAGCAGCTTGCCAGCGGCTGTGTACCTGCCCTTGTGGATAAGGCTTGGGATCTCGCCAAATATCTCGATATGCGATGTGGTTGGGTTCTTGTCAAAGCCCCCAACCTTTGTGATTGTTGTATTCTCAAAGCCATAGTTGACCTGATCGAACATCTTGAAATTGAACCAGACGGCGCCCCTTTGGTCATTATTCCATATCTGGGAATCCAATATGTCGACCACATCGATGGGTTTCAATCCGAGTGCTGGTATGCCCTTCGGATATCTCCTGATAATGCTGTTCATGCTCGCGATAATGCAATCAGAGTCCCCAAAGCGACATCTTTGTATATCGCTTATATCTCAGGGGATGTGGAGGGGGATAGGAAAAGCTTAAGACCGGAAACTGTTTGGTTTCAAACGAATCTGGCAGCATACTCACTCAGTGCTTGGCATCGATAGACGGTGATTAGTTGTAGACTTAGGACTACTGTGCTCGAAATGGAACGCATTTTAGTTGGATCTGTGGGAATACTGTACATGTGCTGGCTCCAGCGGCTGATCAGCGAATAAAATGCCAATATAATCGTAATAGAATAGAAGTTCTATGAGGCCAACAGAATTAACAGGAATGTGCATTCAATTGAGAACCAGTTTCGAGTCAGAAAATGAGACCTGCCATCAATATATAGTGGAGCTTTCCCGATAATCCGTGGGGTGTCTATGACCACAACTAATACGAGAATCAGGCATGCAACTATTTCTCTTTGGTTTGGTATATTATAAGCACTGGTATTCGGATGGAATTCCTCATAAATTTTCCACTTGCTTTAATGCCTGCTAAATTTAATATGTACATAAGGAAATTCTATACAATGGAGGCTGCATCGGCTAGGAAGAGATCATCGTATGGTATGTTGTAGAACAGATCTTCGAACATGCTCAGAAACACCGTTTCGAATAGACGCAATATGCTCGGCTCCAGCTCGTTCCAGAACTCGACCCAATTCCGATTGAATAGATTATTAATGGCTATCGTCATATCAAAGTTATCGGGAAAGAAATCATCCAACCACATGATCCAGCTATAACCAGTCGAATGATAAGAATTAACCATACATGGAGAACAACTACTCACCGATCCAGTCGTATGTTGGGCACCAGCTCATAGATTTTCATATATCGCTTGTTGTTTCTGTATTCGGTGCGCACTTTTAGCGTCAGATCGAAGCGAAAGTTGAGAAAATCCGAACTGGAATCGCCTTGGGAACTGATATCCACAAACCAGAGCATTCGACCCTTGGCATGGTACTTGCCCTTGTACACCAATCTGGGTATCTTGCCATGGATTTCTATTTTGGATTTGGTGGGATCCCTATCGAAGCCCTTGATCTCTGTAATTGTGGTATTCTCGAAGCCAAGATTTATCTGATTAAACAGTTGGAAGTAGTACCAGGCACCGCCCACCTGCGAATCATTGACCAGCACCCAATCCTTTACTTTCACGTGGTCGAAGGGTTTTAGATTTATCTCGGGTATGCCCTTGGGATAATTACGAATCAGAGCATTGGCCGACTCTGCCAGGCACTTGCCATCACCATAATGACATTTATTCACCTTTTCAGCTGCAAATGAAAATACATTTAGCAATTTATTTCTGGAGGATTGTGCGGGATTACTCACGAAATGTTTGGCACTGCAGGCCGACAAAGAGCTCCAGGCTGATCCAGAGTATGCAGGGCAGGTAATGCATTTTACAACCAATTGAGGATACAAAATACTTTGAAGCACTCTCAACCGTCCGTCCGCACACCAAAGCGTAAACAAATCACTTGCCTGGCCAATGGGCAACTAATTGAATCTGGGAGAGTTGTTTTTCCTTGCAACGAGCAAAAACATTTATGAGGAAATCAAACGAGCTGCTGCTATTATCATAACAAGTTCTCGATGCGAGCAATACTATATGGCAGATATATAATTTACTTGGAAACTATCATTGTAGAATCGATTGCAGCTCTCGCCAAAGCTTTGCCCACTTGAGCTTTAACCCATACCACGTAATAAAATACACGCATTAATCTGGATTAAGCAGCCGCCTGTAATACTCGCAGCATTCTTCAAAACGCGCTCTATCATTATAGGTCGCTGTGTTAATACAAATCTATACATATCCCAGTGTCCAGGCAAGTGAAGACGGGCCACATTGACTCAGGTATGTATATTTTACTCAATCTTTAATTTATTCAAGGCAACATTTAATTCTAAACTTGAAAGAAATCATCATAAGACAATTTATTGGCCACTCGTCTAAGTATCGTGCCGGCCACCTGATCCAATGCCGAATTGATGCCTTTTCGCAGTGTTTTCCAAATTTCAAACCAATTGTTGTTGGCCAAATCATTCATGGTGTCACTCAGCTCCTTGTTGTTGAACAAATTCTCAAAGTTTATGTGCATGCTGCCAATGGAGAGTCCAATAAGATGCCAGAAATAATTAAAACCCCTTTCGCATACCTCTGAACATCCACCAAACACTTGATCTTTGGTATTTCCATATAGTGTTTGCCATCCAAACGATGCTCTTCCACAACCCTCACCTTGCAACGAAGCTGGCAATCCTTTAGCTCAACCAGCGCCTGTCCCCGACCCTGGATGGGCATCGTTAGGAGTATGCCTTGGGTCTCGTACTCGCCCTCAAGTCTCAGCAGTGGTGTAAAGGCACTCAGCTCGAAGACACGTGGCATCTCTGCATCGAATCCCTTGGCATCCAGCACTGTTGTGTTCTCAAAGCCTCGCACGGTGAGGGTATGGAATTTCAAGTCCAACTTTGAGGTTTCCCGCCGGCTAACGATCACGTTCTCAAAGCTAATGGCATCCACAGCATCCAGTCCTATGGCGGCTATTCCCTTGGGATGGGACTGCAAGATGTGGGTGATAGTTTGCGCAATGCAGATCGCATCTCCAGCCTGACATTTCTCTATATCTGGAGCTATAAATTGGACAACTTAATTAGTGACTCCCGTTGATCGCTTTAAACTTACGGAGCTGTCCCCAGACGAATGCTATCGTTAGACATCCAATGCAAATTGTAAGCCTCATTACGATTCGTTCTTGTTGTCGGCTAATTAAGGGATGAGCTTGCAACTAACGAGCCAGCCCCTTTTATAGCTCCCTAAGCTCTGGATCCATTCAGATACAAATTGGATGCGGCTATTCAATCGTTCCAATCCACGCCCACACCTGACAGCTGACACCTCATCAGCGGTGATCGAACGATTCAAAAAGCTGAATGAATGTCTCATTTAATTTTCAGGCTTTTCGCTTTCACATCAATTAAGCTATTAGCTAAACTATTGGCTATTAAGTGTCGATTACATTGAATACTTAGTTGAATGCAGCAGGCTTTTGCAGTGGATTAGGTAACCTCCCAAATTCTGACGTAAGGTTTTACTTTTAAAATCAGAATCTGTTGGGAAATAATTTCTATATATATTCATAGCTGATATCCCAGCATAATTATATCTCATAAATTCCCCAAATCCCTTAAACAAGTTCCCAAAAATCATCAAATCATCCTTAATAGAATACAATTATTTTTGTTTGTTTATTATTTATAGTGATTTTTGTACACAACAATTTTTGAAATATATTTTAATGAATGAACTAGCTAGGAGAGTCCATGGAACTCCATGGACTAAGGTGCAACATTGCATACAGAGAGAGAGGGAGAGAGTTCTTAAGTAAAACAGTACAAAATAAATAAGGAATACGAATACATAAATTGCTTTGCTCTCCCAAAGGGTCTACAAATTGTATGCCATTTCTACAGATAAATTTACACACACGATTAGACAACACATGTGGTTCGATATACGCTCAGTTAATTTCACAGCCCTATTATCAATAGACTTTATGATTATTAGCATTCATTTAAAGTGTTTTTCGATCATTTGACAATTTCGAACAAGGATGATCTGTTATGGATGTGCTTTTCTGGTCATGTCTTGTCTTTTCTTTTCTTCTCTTTTGGTATGCATTAAAAGTAGAATTTAGTTATTGTTTTACACTGATCCCCGGTTCTCTTGGAGAACCATTTTAAAAAATAATACCCGAAGCCACAATGAAACCCAATCCATTCCGCCTGTTGCCCAGGGGAACTTTGCCACATTGTGTCCATTGTCGAGTGGTTTGTTGCTGCTGCTGCTGCTGCTGCTGCTGTGGCAACCATGCAGCCGAATGCCAATTCAAATGCCAATGCTAGCTGATGACCACATGGTGACCAGGGCCGCCGTTCACGTTGCTGCTGGGGCACCCGAACTCATTGTTGTTGCTGTTGGTGAAACAAACCTCCTCACTGCCATCGGAATCAGTGCAGCACAGTAATGGCTACGCATCATCCTCGCCATCCAAGACGTCCGCTTCGTGGTCGCCGCTCGTGGCAATCCTGCAAAGGATATTTGGAGACATAAGTGAATGATGTGAATGATTGATGTATGCAAAAGCAGATTAAAATGACTGTTCGATGAGTGTACGCAGGTGGAAGGTTATCTCTCTCGTTTATCATTTAAGGAAAATAAAAGAAAAGTGAACGAAAGGGTTGCAGCTCTTAATTCAGATGATCAAATGTGTTTGAAGTTTGTAACCATCTTTTTATTTATTCAACAATATATATATAATCGTAAATGGATATACAGATTGTGCTCACATATTATCCAACAAATCTATTTCCCTTTGGATTTTTTTTTATTTATGATTTTTAATTCAACTAATTATACATTTTTTTATGGCTTTCAACGGATTCCTATTCTCAGCAAATATCTCGACCATCCAACTAATCAAAATGCAACCATTTATTTTGGTATCGATCAATTATATCGATATTTCTATCTATCTGCCAATTGATCGTTGAAATGGCTCATTTACATATATAACCCACAAATTTAACATCATTTCTACGCCTCTTACATGTTAAAAGATATCTAGTGAAAAATCTACACTTTACTTTTCAATCTACATATTTATTTAGATCTAACAATTGCTCTACATATACTTTGTAGATCAGATATATATTTGCACAACAAACTAAATACACAGGTACGCATTACGCAATGTACCCTTCACTTTCCGCAACTTCCATTCGAAGTCCCACAAATATAGTTACGAAAAAAACATAGAAAGTCAAACAACTCCAATAAGATATCACACACAGAAACAATTAAAAGTTAATAACAGAGGCAAAACAAACACTAAGACGACTTTTCGTATTTATTATTGTCTGGCAATAGGAGTGGAAAATATTTGTAATATTTATTTGTTGCTACAGTTAATAAATACATAGATAGATAGACTCTATTATCGAGTACAGCAGGCATACAGATTTATACAAAAGTTTTAATATCAACCAAATACGTACAAATTTATCTAATAAATAATCTACATATAAAGATTAAAGAACATCTAATACTTATAGAGAAGGAGCATAAATTCTTTACAACATTTACATACAGAAGAGTGCACGGAAATTACGTTTAAATCGAGTGTGGATGGGTTCTAACGCTTAAATCTATCTTAGTTGGCTTCGTTGGGGTAGATTCTGATTCTGTATCGAGTTTCTTGAGATTCCATTATCGTTAAGAGTCAGCTCGCTATATACATATATGTACATGTGTGTGGGTACAAGGTCCGATCCAGAGTTTGAAGATGTGTTGTTGATGCGAGACCCCAACAAAGAGAGAAAATCAGATTTTGGCCGGCAGCACATTTTCGGGGGAATCAAAAATGGATTTTTAATTGAAATTCTCATGGCACGCGTTCTCAAAGCGATCCAAAATCAAAATCAATTGCTATTGCTTTTTTTTATTATTACTTAGTATTTTTCTTTCGTTTTATTTTATGTTGCATTGAAATTTTGCATATTTTGGGCCATTCTTTAGAAATTCAATCATTTTTGGAAAAACGTTTTCTCATTGTTTTGTATCAATGCCAAAAAATCCATTTCCACATAAATAGAATATTTAGTACAATTTGTTTTGTTTTTTTTCGTGTGTGCATGTTTGTTTGTTTGTGTATGTCAATTTGGAATATTTTGGGATGGTTTTTTTGTGTTTTTTTTTTAATTTTTGTACATTTCAATTAGCCACAAAATGAATGGGAAACATCAATCAATCCGGTATCAGTAGTAGACACAGAGTATAAGAGTGGGGTGTAGTATAAGACAGTACATGAAGAGAGAGAGAGAACAGAGAGAGACAGTGATAGAACACAAAACACATATAGAGAAAACAGGATTGTCGAGTGTAATAAAATAGTTTAAAAATTTTTAAGATCTTTTATTTTTAGTTTTATATTTTAGTTAAATTTGTGTGATTAATTTTCAAGTTGAGGGTACCACGTCCACGGTGCTTTTGATAACCCTTTAACCAATTGACCAACCGGAAACCCTTAAATTAAAACTAATCCGCGAATGTTTAGAGCTATAACTATTCTTAAACTTAAAAATATAAAATATTATATTTGGTATGGAAGATCTCCAATTGTCTTCCTTCAAGTTCTTTGGCCATCCACTATATGTACATTCGTCGTCCCTTTTATCCTTCTTCTTCTCAAACAGATTCCAGTTTTAGAATGGGCTCCTCTTACTACTTAAAGCCGAGACCAATCAACAATAAATTTAAAGACTTTTCCAAGTAATTCGAAGCCATAAATGCAAACTTTATTCAACGTGCTGAGCGTCCAAAAGCCTTATAAAGTACATAATACCCCACAAATGCCTGATAAAGCAATCAGTGCAGACTTACCAGCAATATTCTTACAATCTATAGGAACCCACCATTGATGGGGTAAATGCTGTATGTACAAGCGTAGATCCCCCCCAAAGACATGCCTTATTCTCGTAAATTCTAGAGTGTTGTTGAGGAGAGCCCTATTAGGTACTTTGTTAGTGTTGTTAAGCGTGTGATTTAGTGTTAATATCACAAGGGTATGTTCGTTTGTGTGTGTGTGTGGGGGCGGTAGGTTAGCCATAATGAGTCACCAAAATGATTCAGTTAGGAACCTTCTCCGAAACGGTTTCAAGACCTTTCACCGTTTTGTTAGTAGCTGATTCGCCTACAACTAAGGTTACATCACTGTGAAGAATCGAAAGAAGAGAGAGAGAGAGAGCATAGCAAAGATGTTTCGAAATGTTAGTTTCAGTTTTTGAGAGTTCGTAACCAGATGAACGATTAGTAGAAGAGTTTAATTAGCAGGTAGAAAGAGTTAAATTTGAAGTATTTAAAGCCAATTCAGAGGAGTTCAGTGCAGATCGAATAGTTTACTGAAAGGTTAGACTAGAGATTGCTCTCCATGAGAGATAGATATAGCGAGATAGAGAGAGAGATGGTGTGGAGTGGAGTGGAGTCGAGTGTGTGTGTGCGCATCGGTGCGTGCGATGAAAATATTCTTGAACATACCTGGCATACGTTGAGTTGGCATTCTTTATCGAAAAGCTGTTCTGGCTTGGCAACACGAATCGCTGCACCCACTGTAAAGCAGATAGACAGAGAATACCATTTAGTAACAGTAGATGAAGTGGCACCCACCCCACACGCCCAACTACAGTGCATAAGCCCCACAACTAAGCCTCCAAAAACCCGCATATGGTGGTCAGAGTCACGTAAATTGATAATGTCAGAGCGTCCAGTTGATGGACGATATCTTTTGCGATGCGTGATTTGTGATTTCCTAAGACCAATTGATAAGTGCCGCCCGCCCTGTTATGTGTGTGGAGTACTCACCCGACTATTCATCAGACGCTGATTGCCCATGCATGCGGCCATGTGTATCACAAGATATAAATTAAATAGTATATATAGAATGGCAAATATGCCTGCAATACAAAAGAGAAAAAAAACGTCAATCATTAGCAAGTTCCAAATGCGGTAAGATTAACGATTTACGACTACTTACAAACAACAGCCAGCAGACCGCCTTCGATCTGCATTTTCTCCACTTGTACAATCACAAAGTACAGATTTACGCCAATTACCACAATCGTCAGACAGATAGAAACGATTTTGTTTCCCCTGAAAGTACAAAAAAATAGTGAAATAAATCCAGGAGAAAGCGTATATCGAGGCGACACTTACACTCCATTGACAAACTCTCCCATAATTGCCGCACATGAGGTAAACGCTATGGTGGGTATTGCAGCGAAGGGCAACTGCAGTGACATCACCGCATTCAGTATGTCATTCATGTTGGTTAGATCCTCCATTTGGCTGAACATGGCCAGGCAGAATGTTGGGATGATGGCAATGCAGCGCGTGACCAGCACGCGACACCAGCGCGGCCACTGCAGATTGAGGAAACCCTCCATCGAGAACTGACCCGCATATGTGCCAGTCATGGTGGAGCTCTGGCCAGCGGCCAGTATACCCACGCCCCAAATGTACATGGCCACAGCACCGAAAGTGCAGCCGAGAAAGAGGCCGCCCTTGTACAGATCCGCATCGATGATGGCCGTGCCATTCTGGCTGTCCACAAACGACACTTTGGCATCCTCGTACATTGATTTGTTGGTGCAGATTTCGAGCTAACAAAATAACGAGAGTGAATCCATGATTAAGTCGTTAAGATGCGGAACAAAGTGATTGCACTTACCACATCCCTATTGGTCTTGCCATACATGCCATGGGCAAAGACGGACACCACAAACAGATTGATGATGAACGACACAAACAAAGCCACGGAGGCCTCAATGAAGAAGTAGAAATTCGCTTCGCTCACTTTCTTTGGCTGGCGACGATCTATATCGCGGGACTGTAAATGAAAACCGAAAATCTATGAATTAAATGTTCACTGAGAGATTGGGATTTAGATCTTACCTTGACCAAAGCCGAGTGCAAGTACAGATTGTGTGGCATGATGACAGCTCCCACAACACCCACTGCCTGTAGCAGCACATTCGAATTGCAGTCAGAGCACCAGGGCACAAACATACCCTCGAGTACCTCCACTTGATTGGGTGCAGAGACAATGTACTAAGAGGATTGGAAATAAACATTGGATTAGTGAATGCTTTGGGTGTGTGTTTTTCCCACAAATCTACTTGGCAAAAAATTCCCCCGAAATGCCAGACAAGTGTTTGCTCATTATATATTTGGATTCTCGATGGCGCAGAATAAAGTCCCCATGGATAAGCATACAATATTTTGGCTTATACAACAAACAGATAAGGCCTGTAATTGTCTTGTCCCATGTGGTATTGTTTGTCATATCCGGGGGCAGCATCATGTGCTTCCACATCTGCCACATGAAATGAAATGAAATGTGCAAGTGCAAGCTTATCTAATCATCTCCGGGGGTTTGTTCTGACTCAAGTACAATTACTTATTATCTTTGTCTGGGTAGTAAATATGACTTGCTGTCTCCCGATTTACGAGACAAAAAGAAAGTAAGCCCCAATTGAATTATATAGGTTCGTTTTAAGGGCTTCCGTTTGTTGGGTGCTCCAATTAATAGCACGAAAACGCCCTGCGATATTCGGTAATTTGCAAATTACGTGACAATGGCTTTGCGCAAAAAAAAATACGATAAAACAGCAGCAGACACAGACACACACAACATTTAGTTTTGGGTTATTTTTGTTTGTTTGCTGTCTGTGTGTTTTATTATTTGCACGCCCGACAGGCAATTGAGTGTCTCTGAAGGGGAACTTTTGCTCTTTTTGTATAAATCTACTTGATATTTAGGGGATTTTTTTGTTGGGGGGGGCTTACCTCATAGCCAAATGTGACAGCCATGACTGTGATGAGGAGCCCAAATAGGAACTCCAGCTTACGCAAACCGTATTTATCCAGAAACAGGAACGTGAACGTGTCAACAATGGTGATCAATACACCACCCCACAAAGGCACACTACAGCAAACAAAGAAAAAAGGGGAATTATAATTTTAATTATAGATTCATCTTGGAGCAACATCGTATCTTACGCTTTATTCGATAGCAGATATATGGCAATGGCCGTGCCAATTACCTCCTGCATATCGGATCCAATGATGGCTATCTCAATCATGATCCAGAGTATCCAACGGGGCAAACGCTTGTACTGGCGATAGCACATTTCAGCCAGATGCAAGCCCGTTACCACACCCAGCCTGAGCAAATTTAATGATTATAAATTAAAGATACTTTCGGAGAGAGAGAGAGAGAGCAGCCAGCCACTCACCTTGCAGCCAAGCGTTGCATGAGCAGACCCAAGACGGTGGCCCACAGCAAGACCCACAAGATTTTGTACTTGGCGGCGGCGCCCGACTGCAAATCGGATTCGATGTTGCCGGGATCTAGATATGCAATGGACATGAGAAAACCGGGTCCCGTGAAGGCCCACAGCTTGCGAAAGCTGAAACCAATCTTGAAGCGGAAGGTCAAGTTCTGTTAGTTCTAGTTTTCTTTGTATCTTCTTTGTAGACTTACATTTGTGCGATCATCTTCGGGTATGAGGACCTTTTCATCGCTGAAATAGGCTTGCTTGGCGCCGGGTTTCAGATATGTGGTTTCATTGAGTATCTGCTGGTGGTGCAATTGATTGGTATGGCTGCTTCCTGCTGCTCCGCCATTACTGCCATTCCCAGTCCCACTCCCACTCGATCCGCTTGGCCCATCGCCACCGGCACCCGGCTCAACGTTCTTGTGATAGGTCTCATTCGTAGACATGCTGCAAAAAATGGCAAGAATATAGTCAGCCCTTAATAGTTTATTCATATATGTATATGTATCTATTGTGGCTATCTATTGTTCGATTCTGCTTCTATTGCTTTGACTGCCCATCAAATGCTCTATGTTTAATTATACATACGAGTGAATATATTCAATGTGTGATTGTTGCGCCTGCCATTCACACACAATTTCCATTTAATTAAGCATCTGTCTGATCTCTGCCTCAATTAGCATTATCGTAATGCGAAAAACAAACACAAAGTTAGAAAATATAATTATCTCCGACTGTGATTTCTGCAGCCATAACAGCAGCAGCCATATTTCATTTCATTTGGACAGCGCAAAAAAGTGATCATCCAAAAAGTATAACGATTTTCCGCTAAACATATGTACGTATATAAATACTAGTATACATGTGTATGTGACAATAAAAAAGAAATATACAGCTTTACGGATTTTTCACTTGTTTCGTCTCATTGATAACGCTGCTACAGAATTACTGTATATAGTATATGTTCATATAGTATGTACGAGATGAGGAAATAACACCAAGGCCACAGGCCTTGTGAATCATTTCTAAGAGTCTGTAAATTCATTTCGAGTCTGTAATTTTGTTTGATTTGTTGCTTTTTTTGCAACAAATATCCAGTTGCAAGTGCGACAAAAATCAGTCTATTGACCTGCTTATAACTTTGTCCATATGTACATATGTATATCTGATAAAAAGTGATTACAAGTACATTATACATGTACGAGTGTGTGCATATTTACATAACTGTATTATGGAGAGCTCTTGAAAAGATATTGTTCCCTCCAGCAGGTTGGAAATACCATCAGCTGGTTCACCTTGACAGGCACTCTCGTCTGGCCGCCTCTTCTGCCACTGCTGTGCAGTTGCTGCTGCTGCTGCTGCTGGTGCTTTCCACATCGCCTCATTGGAGACGGACAGAGCAAGACAAAGACTCCGGAGAGCATTAGTCGATGTCTAATTAAGTAGAGGCCTTACATATACTGTACACAGAGTTTGGTCATATCAAGATATCGCCATTAATGGCCAATTAGCTTCTATCTATGGTCAAGATTTAAGTCAAATTGTAACGAATCCAACTGCTGGTTTCGTTGTCTGGTTCATTGGAATACGTTGTATTTGTCACAACATTTATTTAATCGGTTGTGTTTACCCAGATGTGCGTGTCTCCTCCATACACAGAAATATGTATGCCATACTACCACTCACCCTCATATAGTACGAGTCTATGTATTTTGATATGATATGTATATATTTTAGCTACGTGTTCGGCAAGCGGAAATTAATATTGTTGGGTCGAAAATGTTGCTAGTTTCCCGATGGTTCATATCACAAGTCATAAATTCTGATAACTGCAAAAGAAATGCTCTTGTATACCCGAAATAAACAAAGGAATCCTCTACATTAAATACCACATCAATTGAATTTTCCATATTTGTATACCCTTGAAAGAGGGGGTGTTATGATGTGGCAAGTTATACGGGTAAATATTTTGCTGGTGCACTTTGGTTTCTTAGGAAAAGCCGACCAAACGTTATAATTATAGTAAAATCGTATAAGTCAAACATGACTTTGAGATATATTATAACCTAATGCCTGATACAGGAACAATCAAGGGTACAAGGGTATCTAAAGCGTCGGTCCCTGCATTTCTTGTTTATTTTTTGTGTGTTTTCGTCTTTGTCCTCGTCAAATAAATGTCGCTTATTTGCTGTTCAAAACAAAAAATATTTTAAAAAACTGCGTAGCAATTTGTTCAATCAGCGGAAAATGCAAAAAAAAATCAGCAATACTATTTTTAGCAGACAACAAAACAACCGACAATGTAAGCGAAAATAAATAAATTATGATAACAACCTTTAAATTACTTTAGCTATAAGCAGTTTTCCACTAGCAATGTGTTAACTGCTTTTTTTAAACAGTAATTATTCGGTTTTAGTTCCTAAAGTAATGCGCGAGAGCTGTTTTTGAGTACGATTGCACGAGCACTGGCAATATTTTCCCCATTGTTGAGGAATTACCATTTTAAAAGTCGTTTTCTTATCACAGAAAAACAATTGTTTAAGAGCCTCAATAAGTTTGAGCAGTGATAGTTGATAAGTTAGGGTCTTCCCAGAGAGAGATCTCAACATGGTGGCTTATCTTTGACTCAAACTCTAGAACCAGCATCCTTCACAACTTAATATTTATCACTCTTTCTCACTCTGTGAGGAATGTTTAAAAATCCTCACCCTGCCCAAAATAAACCTTGGGCTCCACGTTTTGTTATTGGCACACACCTGCGTGCGCACTCACACACACACACACACACACGACACACTCACACTGCTTTGTTCACTCACAACATAAAAAATAGAGAGAGAGATGATGGCCAAAAAGATAAGCATAATGTAAATTATTGAATATTTCAGGTTAACACCATTTCCTAGCAGATAATTAGTTTTAATTGAAAGACTATTTGGCTTACTTGCAACAGCTTGTTGTTTTGGTGCGGGATGGATGGCAGCGACGAAAATTAAAGTATTGGTCTGGTAAATAATTAAAGCAGCCGTTGTGTTTGCCTTTATTATATCACACACACAAAAAGAGCACAGAATGAAGACGACACAGCACTTATATGCATTTTATGAACATTTCACTCATTCCGTTCATTTATCCCGCTCGTGGAACAATTTACGAATTCGGTGACGTTGAACACCAGCAAGCAGATGCAGGCAAGCAGCACAGCACAGTCAGTGCCAGCGGAGGAGTCTGCTTCAGATTCCAATTGTTGACTTATTTAACGGCAATTGACGAGTATCTGGCGGCCACCACACCAACGACGTGACATGCAGTTTCGGTTTAATGCCTGCCTCCCCTTATGCCACCGCCTCTTTCTTGTTTAATAACATATATTCTTTCAACCAAACCAGCTGCGTGTGGACCGATAAAATATACCAACACTTGCTGAAATATACCGAGATACCATAAATCATGAACGAACTTAACCCACTTAATCCCCCTCTATTTAAACATGAGTTAAACGGCGTGACACAGTACTGTTGGTAAGTTCTTCTTGTAGATCTTGTAGATAAAAAAGAAATGACCACGATATCTTTCACCTGAACGGCGCTATAATTTTGCAAGTTTCCCGAAATTCCTGCGTTTACCCACTGTACGACAATGGGTTAATCCTTGCAAGCAGCTGCTTCCACTTACGCACGCACACATCTACTCCTTTTTGGTATTTTTCGTGCAAAGTGGCAGCACCAGTCCGCAGTTTTTGAAAATTTTTAGTACCTTATCGTTTCAAACACTCTGCCGTTTCAAAACGAATGTTGCGCGCTTCTGACTCCGCTCAACACGATCACCGCTGATTGACGAATGCTGTCGCTTAACTGTAGCCGCTATTTATTCGAAATACACTACTGCCTCTTCTCTCACTGGCCGCCGGCGGGCTCGCTCGCGAGGCTTATGTTTTGCTGATTACAGCACCGATGGACAGAGAGAGGGCAGGGCGAGAGAACGTGCCGTGCCCACCACGGTTGTCTAGAGCGTTTTTTTGATGGGGGATTTTTTGATAATACCTCAGGACCCTCAGCAGATTCATGCCCACACCCCATGACGTACGCTTCGCCGTAGGGGCAGCAACTATTCTCTCTGGCTGTCTGTTTTATTTTTAACCACAGGTTTACTGTTAGCCTACACGTATATAATTACGAGATTTAGACCCCTTACCTGCCCCACACAATCATTTAAGTTGACAGACAACCTCCCAATGCAGCATTTCCAACGTTGCCTCCAACACGCACACTTTATCTTAATACCCTCTAAAAGCCAAATTCAATTTATAAATCAATTTTATCGGTTGCACGATTTTTGATTTGGTCTGACATTTGTTCAGATTGCCATCCGACGCCAATATTTGTGATAAGCTAAGTGCCCCGTCGCCGTGTCTATGCTATGGAAATATGGCTTGTTCTTTAAAAAAAAAAACCTGACTAATCAGCACAATGCAAAGTTCTCATTCCCTTTGTCCAGCCGCCACTGCACCATAAATGATATGATTCATTACAGAAAAGTATAACAGTACGCCATTACAGCAATTGGAAGTACATAAGTATTCCAAGTGTTTACAGCTTGGGTCGAGTTTGGTTCCAGCAAAAAGATAAGAAAGGGTACTTTATTCAAGAGCCTTGAGATGAGGCCCTACCCCAAACCTACTTAGAGTTGCAGTCGTGACTCTGAGAGCCATTCCTAAAATAATCATATTCGTTATTGATAAACTTTATTAAGTATTATTTCTTTATCAAAAGAGCAGACTTTTCTGTTGTGACTGTCTTTAACATTAGATTTTACCTGACACGGGAAACATTCATAGACTTTATACAATTTAAAAAGAGCAAAATCGTTCTTTTGACACACATTAAAAACTTCATAGGCAACACATATAAATTATCAAATGAATTAATGTAAAATTTTGTTTGCACATACATTTCCTTAAGCGACAAAAACATAAATATAATTTGGCATAGTATTTTCTTTGAAAAAAATATACTATTAAACGAATACATAAGAATGTAAAATGGGCTTGTTTTGTAAAATGATATATCAAATATATATATATGGAATACCATGAATGGGTTTGTTCATGTGCTAGCATAACAAATTACAATAATAATTTCAATCTCTAGCAGTTCGTTGCACACAAAATGGGACACAATGTAATGGGTTTTTTTGGGTTAGTAGTGAATCGATTTTATAGAATCCAACATCTGTATTATTTGTTGTTCGGTTAGTACGTAAAGTAAATACAATTTGATTTTGTTCTATCGTGAATTTCAAACGGAAGCATTCTGTTTCATGCACTTAGGAATTTTGTTCGGCAACCTGCACGTAGTTGGCCGGAAAGAGGCCATAGCGGTTCTTGCACAGTCCACGCCACCACCCGTCATCGATCTTCTCGATGTGGGTGATCAAATCGTCGGGATCGAATGATATCTCATCGTCATCGGCCGCCTGGTAGTCGAAAAGCGCCAGCGCATGTATGCCAGTGTCCTCGAGGTAGTCGGCAAGATTGTCCGAGTTGGCATAGATGGCCTCCTCAAGGGTTGTGGCAGCACCAGCCGCAGCTGCTGGGGCAGGCTCAGACGTGGCACCATTCGTTGATGGTGGAAGTGGGGAAGCTGCCGGCGGCTGTGGCGAGGCAGCCTTAATCTCTGCCTGATTTTGATAGAGCGGTTCCTCCACAGGCTCTGGCTCAGGCTCAGGTTCCGGTTGCGGTTCAGGCTCACGTTGCACTTGAGGCGTTGGCTCATGCGCTGGGGATGTGGGTTCACTTCTGGGTGGCGTGTCCACGGTCTCTACCTCAATCTGAGGCACAACATCCGGCGGCCGTGCAACAACCTTGGCCGGAGGTGCTGCCTCTTTGACCACAACAGGCGCAGGAGCGGGAGCAGGAACAGCAGCGGCTACGGGAGCTGACGCCTCTGGTTGGGGTTCGTCTGCCACCTCCACCTTAGGTGGCAGTGCCTTGGGAATGACAATGGGTTCCTTGCGTGCCGGAGGTGTCTCAGAGACGGGGGATTGCATTTGATTGAACGCACTGATGGCATTGCCAATGCCTCCAGTTCGGCCCGTCTGGATGGCCGCCCGACTGCCCTTGGGTGGCGGCGTCTCAGTAGAGGTTCGTGGAGTATTCTCCGCGACCGTCTGCTTGGCTGCCTCCTCCCGATCCCGCTTGTCCTTTGCCTCGCGCAAACGTTTCTGCTCTTCGGATCGCTTGCGCGACTCCTCCTCGGAGTTCTTGGCCAGGTTCTCGAACTTGGCACGCAGATTCGACGGTTTGGCTCCCTCGATGACTGGCTTGACCTTATGATCTGCCTGGCTGGCATGCTTTTGTGGGGCCTCTTTGTGATCCCAGCCCACCGCCGATTTGTCCTTGCGATCCTCCTGTACGCCAAACTTACCCCCAAAGCCCTTGGAGTAATCTGCAGCATAGAATTGTGGCTATAGCGATGATGAGTCATCCAAATGAGAATTACTTACCCTTCTGCGACTCGTGTTTCTCCACCTTTTCGATGTGATCCCAACCGACGGCCGATTTATCAACACGATCCGATTGTACACCGAATTTGCCACCAAATCCCGATGAGTAATCCTTTTGCGAGGCATGCTTCTCCACCTTCTCGATGTGATCCCAACCCACCGCCGATTTGTCCACACGATTCGATTGCACACCAAATTTACCACCGAACCCATCGCTGTAATCCTTCTGAGAGGCATGCTTGGCCACCTTTTCCTGGTAGTCATGGCCCACCGCTGACTTGTCCATGCGGTCCTTTTCCACACCGAACTTTCCACCATAGCCATAGCCAGCATTCTGATCCTTCAACAATTGCTTCTTCTTGTCCAAATCGGAGCGTTCCGTCTCCTCGCGCAACTTGTCCATGCTGGGCATTGTTGTAACACAGAGAAGAGAAAGAACACACAGAAAGTGCATTAATGAAAACAATGAACTCGAATTTCCTGCGAAATGATAAAATGACTCACTCAATAGCGCCCGCTGTGCGGCCACTGCCATCGATCGTCTTCGATCCCCAGCGCTGCTCTTCCTCATTCACATCATTGATAAAATCCGGATCGGTCTCCCAGTCATCATCTTCGGCGTCTGGGGCACTGGTGGCCTGGATCTGATGACCAGCACTTGCTTTCCACATACTACTGACTGGCTTATCCTTATCTGCCACAAAAGATAAACACACACATTAGTCGGCGGGGCAGGTTTTCTTTTACGTCCAGATAATAAATGGGAGGGGCTGAGTCGCAGCATAAGTGCAAAGCGGCCCATTTATTATGCACTTACGGGCTTCTGACTAACTACAAATGCAAAATGCAGTGCGGATGCTTTAAAAGCTGCAGAATGTTTTCGAAATGTTTATGGGAAAAATTTAAACAATTTATTTTTAACGCAGTGTGAGGTGTTAGAGGTGTCAAACCATTTGAGTCCGATACTATTACGATAGTATCGATTGTTTTTTTTTCAAAACATTCAAAGTTGATATTCCTCGATTTTGATATTCGGTTTAATATTACTAGCTAGCTGGGAAGCCCTAAAGAAATAATTTTATCCGATAGATACATACATTTTCTACAAGTTTGGCAAGTTTTCAGAAGTCCTTTTTATATTAAGGTTCCAACAAAAACAACATACAACGAATGTGATGTCGTTTTGTGGCGTTGCCAGACTCGTGCAATTCGTAGTTGCTGCGGGCTGCCACACCATGATATTTTCTGATACGAAATTCGTCAATTTTGATATTCAGTTTAATATTACTAGCTAGATGGCCCTCTCAGCCCTAAACAAATAATTTTATCCGATTCCTCCATGAATTTTGTTCAGGATAGGTTAGTTTTGAGAAAACCCACCACGAATTGAGAGCGAATTTTGCAAACCCACCACGAATTGAGAGCGAAAAATGTTAGTATTTTTTGTGCGCTAAATGAGTTTGGCGGTCATTTTGAAAAGTATCTTAATATATTAAAAAATAAATTGGAACTTGATTAAATAATATGCCGTAAGTATTCTGAAGGACACGACAAGATGCGTTGATATTCCTCGATTTTAATATTCTGTTTAATATTACCAGCTAGTTAGAACTTAAATAACTGAAAATATAATTTTATCAGATAAATGAATCAATTTTCTACAATCTGCTGGTCTAATTTATAGACTCCCAGTAATTGAATTACTTATAATATATGGTTTAAGCAAGAATATTCTGAAATATACTGAAACCTTCTCGTTTTCAATATAATACCGTAAACGATATATATTTATTGTTGACCCGAGTGCCGATACATATCTAATAAAGAGCAGATGGCAAGCAGTTCAAAATTTGAGCCGTTATAATCTGACCCATTTAACTTATATTGCAAACAGAT